ATAATGAGGTTCATCTCTCAAACCATGGTTCCAGGCATTTCCTGGGATGGCTCAAGGCAGGTAGAGGCCTAGACACTGGTGGGAGAAAGCAGGTTTCTTGGGTCAGGATTAGGGTTGGGTCCCGAGGAGAGAGGAGTCCAGCCAACCCTCCTTGGCCTGAGCCTGGTCTCTCAGGTGGCTGAGTCAGGCCCGGGGTGAGACAGTGGAGGGAGATCATGACAGCACAGGGGGCTCTCAGAGGCTGGGAAGCGGGGAGGGCGGTCAGGGCCAGTCCAGTGCTCCTGTCCCTGCTTCTTCTCCAGGTGTCAAAAAAGCCTTTGCACACAGCGCTGTCCAATCCCTCCACCAGCCCCATGGAGTCCCCCACCCTATCCCATCCACTGTCTGGGGACAGGTCTGTCTTTGGCACTGGAGGCCAGCTCTGTCTTTGTAGAACTGATCCTCAGGGTTTGGAACTTGAACTCTGCCCATAGTGAAAGGAGGTTCTGTTTCTCTGGCGAGTAAGTGCAAGATCCTGACCTCAGACAGACATTTAATTCTCCCATCCCACTTTCTAATCCATCCAAGCAGGACACGGTCTGAGGACCAACAGACACAGGCTGGACCAGAGCCCGGGTTTCCTGAACTCCAGTCCACTCCAGTCCACATGCCTCCAACTGCCGCCCCACCCCGCCTCCGCTGGCCCAGCCCCTCTGGAAAGGGGAGGCAGGCCTTGGTCACAGATATCCCTCGATGAGACCCAAAATCTGACATTCCCAGGGTTCCTCGGTGGGGCTGGCAGAGCTGGGCTCCTGGAATGTGAAACCCCAGGGGCCTTGATATTTCCCGCTCTCAAAGGCTCTCTCTTCACTTGCCCTTTTGTCCCGGAATAAATACGACGACTCTTCCACCTGGCATCTTTGTGGTGTTAGTTCCATCTGGCCTCAAGGAGTCCCTCCCAGGGGATAGGCAGGAATGGGGTGGCATCGCACGTGTATAGAGGAGGGACGGAAGCTCTCCAGCCTGGACATCTCTCTTTGCTGGCTGAGGAAGCTGTGTCACTCACTTTCTCCAAGCATAGTTATCAGAAATGAAGGGGCTGATCTCTCTCTCCCTGCAAAGGGGCTTTGGTGACCAAAGACTGGATGGTGTCAACCTGGTGATCAAAATGGTCAGAATCTAATTTAAAGAGAGTTTATTCCAGCACAAATGTTGAGGACAGCCCATCCAGAAACAGCCATGGTTTCATTTCTATATATGAAACTGCCTTGTAGTGAAACTACATGACTGTGGTAAGCCAGATACTGTGGTAAGCTACATACTGGGTAGAATTTATTTTTTTTTCCAGTGACACAAAGTCAACAAGAACGAAGAAGTGGCAGGGTATGGTGGCTCATGCCTGTAATCCCAGCACTTAGGGAGGCCAAGGAGGAATAATTGCTTGAGGTCAGGAGTTCCAGACCAGCCTGGACAACATGGTAAAATCCAGTCTTTACAACAAAAAAAATTTAACTGCTTGGCATGGTGGCATGCACCTGTGTTCCCAACTACTTGGGAGGCTGTGGCAGGAGGATCGCTTGAGCTCAAGAGTTCCAGGCTGCAATTAGCCATGATCAGACTGACCACTGCAATCCAGCCTGGGCAGCAGAGTGAGACCCTGAAAAAAAAGGAAGGAAGGAGGGAAAGAAAGAAAAAAGAAAGAAGAAAGGAAGGAAGGAGAAGCGAAGAGAAGGGAAGGGAAGAGAAAGGAAGGGAAGGGAAGGGAAGGGAAGGGAAGGGAAGGGAAGGGAAGAAGGGAAGGTGTCGGGTGTGGTGGCTCACACTTGTAATCCCAGTACTTTGGGAGGCCAATGCAGGCAGGTCACTTAAGCTCAGGAGTTCAAGACCAGCCTGGGCAACATGGCAAAATCCCATCTGTGATGCGGGGAGGGCAGCCAGGGCCAGTCCAGGGCTCCTGTCCCGGCCGGGCACAATGACTCACACCTCTAATCCCAGGACTTTGGGAAGATGAGAAGAGAGGATTGTTTGAGCCCAAGAGTTTAAGAACCAGCCTGAACAACATGGTGAAACCCTGTCTGTACAAAAAATACAAAAATTAGCTGGGCACAGTGGTGCTCACCTGTGGTCCCAGCTACTCTGGAGGCTGAGGTGTGAGGATCGCTTGAGTCTGGGAGGTTGAGGCTGCAGTGAGCTGTGACTGAGCCACTGCCCTCCAGTCTGAGCTGACACTGAAGAGAGAGACTCTGAACAAGCCAGAGATGGGGGAGAGGCTGAACAGTGCAGAAAGGAGGCCAGGAGAGCCAGGAAGAGAGGCCAGCAATGTTGAGAGAGTGAGGTTGTGAGAGGAAAATAAAAACGAAGGGAGGAAGAAACACAGCTGTAGGGAAAGGGGGAGGTGGATTGACTAGAGGCAGGACAGACACAGAGAACGGGGGCTCTACTCAGGGCAGAACAGGCATGCAGCCCCCTGCACCCACAATCTCATGGAGGAGACAGGACCTCACCTGTGACAAAACCTGTCATCTGAGGTCAGGGTCAAGGAGCACTTCTGGCCTTTCATCTTCACCATGAGGGCCGCCTGGGGACTGAGGGACCAGGGGCAGCACTTCTCGAAGCAGACTCTGAAGGTGCAGTTTCCACACCTCTGGGTCCCGTCCAAGGGCAAGACGGCATTGTCATAGTAACAGTGCTGCAGGGGATCACAGAACGTGTCCCCACATCTTGCCTGTGGCTGGCACAGCATCAGATAAGCACCCATGGGGGCCACTGGAGGGGACAGAGCTGGTGAGGTCCAGGTGGAAGGGCAGGAGGGCGCCAGCCTGGGATCTCCTGGGAGCCACGCCCCTCCCTCAGCTTCCCAGTTCTTCCTGGGCTCACCTGGGGGCTCCATGTGATCAGAGAAGGCTGAGGATGCAGAGAGAGGCCAAGACGGCTGTGGGAGAAGGAAGAGGGGGGCTCCTGAGGAGACCACGAGCCATCTTTGGGACCCCAGCCTGTGGCAGGAGTGGGTCCAAGGGGGTCTCTGTGTCCTGACTGGAGCTTGAGGAAGGGCTAGAAGGTGATCTCAGGCCAGGCGCAGTCTCCCCATGCTCAAGGGTCCAGTCTATCTGCCTGCTGAGCACAGACGTGTGAGTTACCCCCCTATCGAGGTCAACCGAGCCTGGCCCAGATCAACAGACTCATGAGATGACCTATGGACTCAGGAGCAATCATGATGTGGTTGTTCCATTGCACTGAATGTAGAGTCTTTGATTCTGCAGCACCAGCAAACTGACACATAACACTGTTTAACTTTGGGTTCTGGGCTTTGGGGTCCCTGCAGAGTTCCTGATTTCAGCCCCCAAGGGCTCATTCACAAATTTATTACTCAGATCCTACCCTGTCAACTCAGGACGTGTTACTGAGACATTTCCCAGTGTGGGAGGCAAGCCACCCAGGTGCCGAGGCAAGAGACCGAGGGCATGAGCTGTTCCAGTATAATAAAGAAAACATATAAAATAAGAATAGTTATACTAGATATACATCATAGATATGATTACATATGAACATTATTAATCATTAGTATGTAGCAATTACTCTTTATTCCAATGTTATAATAATCTTCGCTCTACAATTATAACTTAGGAGAAACAAGGCCATACAGAGACAGGAGCTGAAGGGACATGCTGAGAAGTGACCAGAAGACGTGTGAGCCTTCTGTTATGCCTGGACAGGGCCACTAGAGGGCTCCTTAGTCTAGTGGTAATGCCAGTACCTGGGAAGATGCCCGTTACCTAGTGGACCTTGGTCTAGCGGTAGCGTCAGTGCCTAGGAAAAGCACCCCCTACTTAGCAGACTGGGAAAGGGAGTCACAGAAGACTCTGCTCCACCACCTCTTGTGGAAGATTTATCTGGAGGCCTGTCCCCTTGTGGGATGCTGTGCTTCAGCAGTCAGGCTCCTGGTGCACTTTCATGTTCCATCCTGTACACCTGGCTCTGCCTTCTAGATAGCAGTAGCAGAATTAGTGAAAGTACTGAAAGTCTCTGAAATGCAAAAATAATGGCATAAGCTGTCTCCTCTCTCTCTCCCCCTGCCTCGGCTACCAAACAGGGAAGGGCCCCCTGTCCAGTGGACATGTGACCCACGTGACCTTACCTATCATTGGAGATGGCTCACACTCCTTATCCTGCCCC